CTGGTGATAGTAAGAAACAGTGACATTGTACTATGTTGGAGCAGCTTCTATGCTGGTCCCAGTACATTCTTAAATTGTAATGGTAGAGTGTGTTAGCTCAGTTGGCGCAATGTAAGTCACTAGCTGAAGACAGTTTAAGGAGACATAAGGGTAAATGTTCAAAACTGTACAAGGTTTCAGCTGTATGGTACTTACAGGAATGTCAAATAGGAGTCATACAGAGAGCTGCCTCACCATGTCAACACTAGGCATAACCGTAACAGAAAATCCTGCCTGCTGCTGACTTTTTTGTTGCTATTTACCTGTAACTTTGATGAAGAATAGTAGCAGGCTGCTTTAAATGCAGAAGATTTATTTTATAGGGGTCAAAACCAAGGCTAATGCGGACCTCCCCAGTTTTTTTAATAAACTGGTGAAATCAAGGTCATAGTCCTGCTAGCCACTGAAACTATTTCAGTCATAAAGCAAGGCTTTAGTATCAGATGTGTGGTGTGACTTGCCATGTAGCCTGAAAATTCAGATACTGCACAATAAGTTGTTCAGTGATAAAAAGCACTGCACCTTGGAGACTAGAATCTGTCCTTGGTGGCTGCAATTCATGGTCGTATGAGGGCTGTTGCATGGCTAATGTGAAATAAGTAGATGATCACTGTTCACTTCTTATTGGCTAAGTGTCCACATCACAAAAGAACTGCCATCACGATTGACACTAATTGGCCCCATGTTAGCAGTCTCACTAGAGAGACCAGCGACTTAATGGACGTGGATCTCAGTCCAAAAGGTGGCCCTTCCGGAACAGAAATGAGGCTCTGTCGCCATCTCTGCTGATGCTTCCCTCTGGATAAAGAGAACTTCATTTTCCAGGACTGTAAGTCTTGCATAATTTACAAACACTAAAGTGAACTAAAAACAAAATAATCTGATATTAACCATTGAGCTAGAGGATTTGATTAAAGTGTTTCTATTTTTTTATGATTTGTACATTTTTGTTCAGATGAAACTCATTCTTTTGATAGAATACTGCAGAGATTCATAATTTTTGGGACTCTCTTGAATCTTAATTACTTTTAGTTAAAAAAAACTTTTAGTAAAAGATGTTATTTCAAAAATAAAAACCTCATTAAAAAGAGACAGGAGTATTTCTCTCTCTTTTATAAAACCCAATTAAATGCCTTTACAATTAAAAATTCACAGTATTTTATAGTTTTATATTCAGGAATCCTGTTTTTAATTAATTGAGCTGACAGGTTTAGGTACCGGGTACATATTTTGCCTCTGGTAGTTATTGTATAATTAGCATTAATGAAGGATATTAAAATGTGGTTAGGTAGAATATAGTCCAGGTTCATATGTGGGCTCATTCTGTCTTATTATGTTCTCTTATTTCAGATTGCATTTTATGCAGCATTCACTTGTTTTATAAATTTAAAGACCAACTGAAAGTAACAATGAAGGATATTCTTTTTATTGTCATTGGTGTGTTGAGAATTCACAATGCAGTGTCTTGTCATAAAAAGTCATTGCCAAATACTACCTACAAAAATGTATATTAATGTACCTTACAAATTAGCTTTTTATCTTTGAGGAAAATTGTCTTGTATCTAGGACACTAATTCATAAATTAAGTCATCAGATAAATTTGAAAAAATGAGATAATACATATTCACTGTGTAAGCAGAAACCAAATTAAGCCCTGTCCCTTGATTTTTATATGCTGAAGATATGCAAAAATTAATGAAAGTTGGTTAATGGTGTAACTGTGATAAATGTATACTAGGCTAACCCCTTGCCCCTTGTCCCTAGCAGGTGCATAGCACTGGAAAGGAAGTGTGTATGTGGAGATGTTTCACAGGCTGTCCACTGCTTAAAATAGAGATTTGGGGCACCTGACAAGGTAGAGATATGGGTATGGCCAGTGAATCCCTGTTTTGACAGCTACAAGGCCAGCAGCCTTTCTAAGGGAAGCACAGTAAGCACGGTCAGTAGTACGTGCTATGAGTTGGAGTAGTGGTGCTCCTGAGCAGTTTTGTGGGTGCATTCTGTTTTGTGGCTCTGCATTCTGGGGAGGGGAGCCCTTCACTCGGACATGTTGGAACTCCACTGTGTATGTCAGCTAGTGACAGGGTTTGATTCACTATCAGTAATTCCAAACCATTAAAAGTGCCTTATGTAAATCAAACCTGTAATTATGAAAGAACTGCATATGGATCAATAATTATTAATTCTTAAGTGCTCAGTGTTTCCTGTTAAGTTTTTATTTGTACATTTCAATGGATTTCTTGCATATCTGTTTTGTGATCTGCTTTCCTGTCTTTCAATTAGTCTGGATGTGTGTGCACATCTGAGGGCAGGCAGCATTTGCTTTATAATATTTCAAGACGAGGGAAGTTTGAGCCAAAAGCAGATGCACAGTGGTGCCATATCATGGATTCCACTGGTTACACACTGCAACACAGTTCTAAATCATATTATATTGCTGTCTAAAAAGACATGTATCTATCTTATCCACAAATGCATACTTACAGAAGCTTCACATAAACTTTCTGAGGCAATACTGAATCATCTGAGATGAGATGCATGTGTTCTCTGAAGGTTTGTGAATTCGTATTCTTTTTGTCAGGCACAACTTCCTGCGACTCTTGTTTTTTGAGAGTGCAAAATAAACTGAGGAGCGACATGAATACTGGCAATGCATCTGAGTGTTGTGCAATTGCATTTCATGTGTGGAGCAAGTTATTCCAAGGTTATTCCTCCTTTGTTCCTCCATCCTATTCCTATTGTATGGAGTGGGATCGCACAGGAGAAACATGGGACAGACTTTGACTCAGGATACTGGTACAGATGCATAAAGCCACATTTTAAAAAATGCATTATTCTTTTTGCATACACCATATGCAAGGGTAAATTGTGGGAGCATATTGTAGCAGGCAGGTTGCACCTGTCAAAAGAAAGCAGAAGCTCTGTCTGTCATAAAATGTACTTCATAAAGCTTATGCATGTTTCAATATCTCCTACTTATAAAAATATGGGACAGTTGACTTCAGAGCAGACATCGTTATGTTAAGTAATAGAGATGTAGCCGTGTTAGTCTGGTCTAGCTGAAACAAAAGACAGAACTATGTAGCACTTTAAAGACTAACAAGATGGTTATTAGGTGATGAGCTTTCGTGGGCCAGACCCACTTCCTCAGATCAATTTGTGGAAGAAAATTGGCACAACCATATATACCAAAGTGATACAATCAAAAAAATGAACGCATGTGAAATTGACAAATCAAATTTTAGAACAGAGTGGGGGCGAGGGGGGAAGGTTAGTGTCTGTGAGGTAATGACATTAGCTGTTATAATGGGGGAAGTTTCTGTGAGGTAATGACATTAGGGGTGATAATTGGGGAAGCTATCTGTTTGTAATGGGTGAGATAATTAGAGTCTTTGTTTAGACCCATACATAAAGCATCAAATTTAAGCATGAATGACAATTCTGCTAAAATTTGACACTTTATGTATGGATCTAAACAAAGACACTAATTATCTCACCCATTACAAAGATAGCTTCCCCAATTATCACCCCTAATGTCATTACCTCACAGAAACTTCCCCCATTATAACAGCTAATGTCATTACCTCACAGACACTAACCTTCCCCCCTCGCCCCCACTCTGTTCTAAAATTTGATTTGTCAATTTCACATGCGTTCATTTTTTTGATTGTATCACTTTGGTATATATGGTTGTGCCAATTTTCTTCCACAAATTGATCTGAGGAAGTGGGTCTGGCCCACAAAAGCTCATCACCTAATAAACCATCTTGTTAGTCTTTAAAGTGCTACATAGTTCTGTCTTTTGTTTCATCATTATGTTACTATTTCAGAACTGTGCCATAGTGAATTGTATTTGCTGTACAATTTCCTTTTCACCTTAGTTTCTAGTTGAAATTTAGGTATACTTATCTAATCTCCTTGATGATAACATTCTTGGCATTGTCATACTTAACTGATATCTGTCACCCCTTTTTCTAATTTCCCAAAAGTCTTTTGGATAATTAGGCTGTTAACATATTGAAGATGGGATTTTCAGCAGTGCTTAAAATGTATTTAGTGCCTAATTCCCATAGGCTTCTTTGGAAATGCCAGATGTAATTTTTTACATTTCTCATGCTCATATTGTCTCTGTAGACCCCTAGTCTGCTGCAGCCTTAGAACCCTCTAGAAAAGTGGCAATCATTGGCTTCTTGTGCATTTGTCCTATTATAGTACATAAGGGAGCATGGCCCACAACCATCCAATAGCAGGCTGTGGGTACATGAAACAGAAGACAAACCAACCATTCTTCTGGTTTCATATACTTGTACTTCGTTCTGTTTTGAATTACACCTTTTTGCATTGATTAGCAGTTTGTAAAATTAGAGCTTTTTTGGCTTGACTTTGCCTATTTGGCAGTTAAATACATGACATGGCTGCCACAGATAAAAAGTTGGGTTTTAACAGGTACCAGGTGATCAGTATATAAATGTCCATAATGTCCCTGTATGAAGGTGACGCGCATGGAGATTGCTCAGCTTATGTAATCTTTACTTCTTGAGCACATCAAGACCAAGACTGTAGGGTAGAATTCCTATGGTTAGGAATTACGTCGTGCAGATTCTGCCTGTCAAATTTGAGGATGTTCCCTACTTTGGAGGTTTAATGATGTCTGGAGGAGAATATCTGGAGGGTCTGTCTAAACTATCTATGCATGTCAGCCATTCACCCAGAGTCCACTATGTTTCTTACCATTTCATACCTTTTGTGTTGATGGTGAACCAGGAGATGCAAAGTATTTGAACTCCAGTTCAGTTACCTTTGTTTTGTTTCTTGCTTGGTTTGTTTTTCAAGTGGAAGTTTTAAAGTGATAAGAAGGTGGCATAAATCACAACCACAGCACATTTAATTATATCTAATTCTTTATACTTTATTTACTTGATTTGATTTTTTCATGTCACTGTACCTTGTTGATTCTTCAGGCCACTCCATGTGCTGATCTGCAATGCTGCTGTTTTTGCTGCTCCCTGGTCCTTGACAGAAGATGATCTGGAGGCCACCTTCCAGGTGAATCACTTGGGGCATTTTTATCTTGTCCAACTTCTTGAAGATACTCTCCGCCGCTCATCTCCAGCAAGAGTTGTGATGGTTTCATCAGAATCACACAGGTTGGTTAAAATTACAATATGTTCTCGATTTAGCTCTGATCTTCCTTTTCTGCTGTCCTTGGAACAAAACCACCAAATTGGAAATAACACACTTAAAAATAAAAAGACTAACGCTAGTACCTACTCAGGCTTGAGCAATACTTTTTGGAACTCAGTAGGATTATTCACATACAGGATCTGTCCTGAGATTCTATGAGGATACGCGTTTCATAATACTGCATATGCCGGTCTTGGTCACTCTTCGTGTGAATGCAGATTTTTCACCGCACTTCAGACCACTCATTGATTTTGCTAGGAGATGGAATAATAATTGATTAAATCTGAATGGCATGACCTTTATTGATTTGTCATTCAACAACTTCAACATCTTACCAAGAAGCATGTGCAGTTATTTTAGCAGGAGAAACAATGCAATTAAAGACTGCTAGATGAAATCCAATTGTTTTATAATGAGAAATTAGGGAATTCAATGCAGACATTAGCTGTATAATTGTAGAAAGGGAAGTTTGTTAGTTAGTTTATATTAGAAATTGGCTGTGCCTCTTTTGGTTAAATTTTCAATTAAGATATCAGGTGGCACTTCTCTCCTATTATCTTTAGGAGTACAATTTGGCAAAAAAGCAGAATGTGAAATTTCACCTTATTTTAGACATGTTTCCCATGATTTTAGAATGTTTTTAATAACTGAAGAGAAGGGAGTTTTAAAAACGACAAAACAATTACTATCCAAACTAGATTATGGTAGTTGAGCATTTAAAAGTAGTCAGGCATTTGTACAGGCAGTGTTGCAATACCTACCTGATTTAATGCCTAAATCTCTCTTTCAACAGTGATTTAGGCAATAAGGAGTCTAAATTGCATCTACCGTCAATAGGATTTTGGTGCAGCTTAGCCTAAATACTTTTAAAAATCTGGGCCTCGGAGCCCAATTCTGAATTCTGTCCACATCCAGAGCACTTGAACATTCAAATTTAGTTCAGAATGTTCAGGGATTAGTACCATCATGGCTTGCTTTAACAACGTTATTGTTGATTTCTAATTCACTTTTTTGGTTGATGTGCAAGAGATTTAGCAAAGCTAGAGGACAAAATGTGCAACTGCTTTTATTTATTTATTTATGCATGCATGTATGCAGTGTTTTAAGAGACCCAGAATAAAGCTTATATTTTTAATCACGTTTCCATAGAATGTAACCCTTGAGACCTGGTAGAGAGAGACCAGCCAAGGGTCAGGCTGAAATCTTTATCACTTCCAAACAGAGGGGCTTATGGTATAAATGACACACTGAAGATAGATTTACTTTTACCATTTTAAATTTATGATGGCTGAAATGAAAGGAAGCAAGAGAAAATGCCAGTAATAATCCTCCCTGGTGTTAAAAGACATGAAACATCTAGTAATTAGGTGGTAACAAAATCTGGACATCCTTATCTTTGCAAATCACACCAGGTTTGTGAAAGCAAGTAGCAGAGTCCTGTTAGGAGTGAGGGAAGCTACTATGGGGGGCAGGCAATATAGCTCTGGAAATAAATCTGCCAATTCCAATCACTTGCCAGATGTGGAGGGCACAATGGGATATGTATAAATGAGCTGTTATTTAATGGGAGATTATGTTGAATTGTCAGCTGCTTGTTTCCCTTTTTAAGCGTGTATCTCAAATAGTATTTTAAATGATGTCTTTGGGTTTTTCCCCTTATGTACCATGTAGAACTAGAGCTTTATCTTTGTTTTGGAAAATAAGATATTTTAACATGTATATTGCTAACTGAATGAGCTCTAGCTAAGTTTTATGAAAACCTATAAAAAATAAGTCATGATGCATGTTGGAATATAATTACGAATCCAACATATTGCTTTTCTATTTTGGGGATTCATTTCTTGTATCTTAAAATCATATTTAAACATTTAAAATAATCATTACATGGCTGCTTTTTCTAGCTGTTCGGTGACAATAAGCTGATACAGGGAGGCAGTTTACAGAGTAGGTCTTAATACTGGTAGTGGTTTCCAACTTATTTGGGAACTCTGATCCTTAAACTGTGTTGTAAAACAGAAGTGTGGGTATCTAATTACTTCCATAAACCTTGGCTGAATCTTTTTGTTGGAGTCAAGACTCCCTGTTAGGGGGAAAATAAAGTCCTGTTTGCAGAAATTACTATGCTAGACAGCTCTGAGGCAAAACATTTATTTTCCTCTTTAGCTCTATTTTGTTTACTTATCTGTATTAAACTCAATTCATTTGCACTGAAGTAATCTTATGAGTAGTTTAAGCACATAATGCTAAACTAAGAATAATAAGTAAGTTGACTTTTCTTCTATCTTTATTTCCATGTAATTAATTTGATTGTCCACGAAAATGAATGGGGTTGCTGATGTAAGACTGACTCAAAGGATTGGGCTGAGAATGCGTCACTACATTACCATTGTGTTGATGACAGACACAGAACACTGTATTTGTATAGTATGCATGTGTGGTTTAGATAGTTACTAAGGACTTGAGTAGCAGAGTTTGCGCCCTTATTCGTGTTGAGTAGTAATTTACTCCCGGAATAGTACCACTGGTTTCAGAATTGCACCCTAAATAAATGTGAAAATTATGAAAGATTGAAAATCAATATGAAGGACTGATCCTGAAAGAAACAAAGCATTGTCAGCGCCTATTGTCTTTGGAACCTTGTAGACTCTTTGGCTACGTCTACACTGGCCCCTTTTCCGGAAGGGGCATGTAAATTTCACCAGTCGTCGTAGGGAAATCTGCGGGGGATTTAAATATCCCCCGCGGCATTTAAATAAAAATGTCCGCCGCTTTTTTCCGGCTTTTAAAAAAGCCGGAAAAGAGCGTCTACACTGGCCCCGATCCTCCGGAAAAAGTGCCCTTTTCCGGAGGCTCTTATTCCTACTTCCGGAAAAGGGGCCAGTGTAGACGTAGCCTGTATCTGTATATTTTACTGTTTTTGCCTAGACATAAATTTAAAAAAAACCCACACACACAAACATGTCAGTTGCTTAATTTGGGGGCATATAATGCAAAATCAAGGAAGGCATTTTTATTTTTTTTATAATGTGTGCCACAGTTATGTTTGTCCCTCATTTCCCTAGCTGTTTCTGAAAACTCTACATATTGAAGTATGTTTGATAATCTTTTATATTTTATTTTATTTTTAAGCAGTACTCCTAAGGGGAGCATAGTTTTGCAACTTGCAATGATATTTATTTTTTAGCACTAATGCTTACTGGTAATTTATTAAACCAAAAAATATAAGGATAGAAAGATTACTATCTAAAAAATAACTTTTTTCGTGTAAATGGCTTTAGTACATTCACTACTTTGTTATTATTAAAAAAGAAAGAAAGAAACAAACAGCTGGTGTTTAATGACTCTGTCAGACCCAATTAAAAAACATCAACTAGTTACTTTGATTTGTGTTCAGCCATGCCAGGGGTATACTTAAAAACATTACAGTCTGCCAGAACTCATTTTGGCTTTGTTTACATTTATCTTTAAACATATAAGACTATTGATGGCAAGTTACCAAGGTTATAACCACTTTATAATCATTAATTTTTAATCTAAAAAGAGCCTAAGAAGCAGCAAGAGTCATCTGTAGTTACTTGGATCCTTAAACTAAAATAAGCAGCACTGGAACATTATATTAAAATAATCTAGGAAAATGGTTAAGAATGAATATTGTATTACTCTTCTTGGAAAAGCAGAAATCTTTTATTCTAAATTAAATGTATATTAATTGTATGAGTCTTGAAAAACATAACTAAAAAACTGTTTTGTTCCTTGTATAGTTCTGATAGTATAAATTGTGGGGTTTAAATAATAAATAAAAGCCTTTCTGTTAACTTATTTTTATTTTATTAAATTCATTCTGTCTTTTGCTTCTGATGTGAATTTAGTTAATAATTTTACTCTTATATAACATGGTTATTTTTGAGGACCATAAGTAATTTCTTTTAGATTTTAAATAACTGCTAAGTAGTTGTGTGTTGGTTACAGTCCAAATTCTGCTGTCATCTGCAGCAGAACAACCTTTGTGACTTCCAAGGAGTTGTTCTGTTTTAAGCGAGAGCAGAATTTGGACGAGAATGGCTTAAGCATGTGTACTGTTTTTTAGATTTTCAGAAATTAAAGATTCCTCAGGAAAACTTGACTTCAGCCTGCTTTCTCCATCTAAGAAAGAGTTCTGGGCTATGGTGGCCTACAACCGTTCCAAGCTTTGCAATATATTGTTCTCCAATGAGCTAAACCGCCACCTTTCTCCCTATGGGGTGACATCTAATGCAGTGCATCCTGGAAATATGATATACTCATCCATTCATCGCAACTGGTGGGTGTATACCCTGCTGTTTACCTTGGCTCGGCCTTTCACCAAATCCATGGTAAGTGAATGCCTTGCAGCACTTTACACATCTTACATTTTTAAATCATGGTAGAGAAGTTATAAAAATCCAGATGTACATACTTGCTTTAACCTTTTGCCTCTTATAAATGCAAGCATGGTTTTAATGGCAATCATGTTGTCAAACCTGTGAGCTCTAGTAAAGGGTCTTAACACAATTTCAGATGAACTTTGTCAATCTAAAGTAATATGTAGAGTGTTGGAATGCTTGCTTTACATTGCCCTGGTAACAGATAACTGCACATAGTAGGAGTAGAATGCTTTGGGATTAGTGATGTTTAAGTGTATGCTAGGTACATTTGTTATGTAAATAGATGGCTATGTAGGTGCTGTGATTAGAGAATCTTGTTAGTGGCATTGTTGATGACTGAGGAAAAGCATTTTTAGTGTAAATTCTTCTTTTTCTGAGGCTTAGAAGTTCCATCATTTTCCTGATCATTATTTTTAGCCCAAAGGCAGTGGTTTCTATGTTGGTGGTTGGGGAGTTTAACTGGAAAGGGTGTGTGTGCATATGAGTGTGTGTTGGTGGTTATTTGGTATGTTGACTAATATATCCTGTCTCGCATATAAATTATATATGTGTTATATTATCCTCACCTGTGTGTATGTGTGTAACCTTAACCACAAATATTGTAACAGCGATTTAGCCTGAACTGGACTATACCATAATATTGTTCACTTACACTAAATATCCCATAACACCTTTCACTTGCTGAAGTAAGCATTTGGCAGAACGAGATAGGAAATCTGTCAAAACCAAGATACATTTACTCTGTGTCTTAATACAAACCAGGGAAGTACCTTCACGGATCAGTACCTAGAATTCTAGTACTGAAAACAAAGATAAGGAAGGATCAGAACAACACGCTAGGGAACTGGAACAAACGGATGGTTGGATTTCAGTCCATGTAAAGAAATGTATAACTTGTAAAATGTAATACCAGCTGAAATGTGTAACTTGGGGAGCTCACTTGTGTAAGGTAAATGTAACCTCACTGCACAAGGCTGCTCTTCGTACATTTATATCATATAGAACCTTTTTCCTGTACCATAGTAATAAACCTGTCAGACATTGGTTATTTAGTCTCTTAAATATATTTCATACTGAACCAAAGTGTGGTCAAAAAATTGACTATACAATTTATCAACAGGTAGAATTGCACAAGGCCATTTTTTAAATATCTTAGCATGGAAAATATACTGACTGTTAAGATGTTTTCAAATACTACCTTTTATTTGTATAACCCCCTGGCCCCAAAACTTTCCTGAATTTTAAAAGTTAAAACATACCACTCAGTGGAGGGAAGCCTCTTGGATTCTCCAGAAGAAATTTGTAGAGACATAAAAGTTCTAAGTACCCCAAAACTGTGTTTCATGCAGGGGATGAGTCTGGAGGGTTGCCATTTGAGGAGCTAGATAGCCAATATTGTTGACTTCAGGTTCATCTTGCCTCCTAAAGTCATGGATGTATCATTGTAGAGAACAGTTTCTGCAGCTTTTTTATTTAAAAATTTAAAATGCTAATTAGGTTATTTTGGCTGTTATTTTATTTTTGTGTCACTTCTTTTGATGATAGTCTCATATGATGGTATTTGTTTGACTCATGTGTGAAAGAGAATAAGAGATCAACATTGACTAGGCAAATCTCCCTAAACCAAGCCATATTGCTTCCGTCAGTTCTTTGAGTTTCTTTTAATCAATTGAGGTTGTACAGGTACAGTTGTGATGGTCCTGGGTGAAGGCAGATCCATTATTACAACTCGTAGTGTGACAAATCCTGCCCTAAACTTCACGGGTGCAACCACTCTCAAAGTTAGGATCAGGAGCCTAGAGACCCACAGATGATGTGCATCCTTTTCATGATGTGCAGCCCAGCTATTCTGTACTCTCACTTCATCCATGGACAGGGATTTTTTTTTTGTTCTTGTAGGAGTGCTGTACCTTTGAGCATGCTTTACTCCTTACCCACATTGAGAGTTTATATGAGTTGGACCTCTCTAGCCCGGCACACTCGCAACCTGACCAGTGTTGAACCGCAGGCGGTCAATACAGTCTAGAAGCATTACCAACACTCCCATTGCTTACTGGGCTCTTAGAAGACATTTAAGGGTAAATTAGAGCCAAATTACAACACAGAATACCGAGAGCCAGGACTGGTGGCTGTAAACAAATTTTATGGGACCATGGGACACTTAGTCACACCTATGATCAGTGTTCCCACTAAGATTTTCCATCCTTGGGTGGGCTGAATTTTCTTTTGAGCGGATTGATATTTCTTATGTGCAACAACAGTATTGAAATAGTGTGTGCATGTGCACCCACCAGTATAAACAAAAACCATACATATAAATATATATTTTAAATAGTCCATAAAGGTGGAAGAAAATATATTAAAACTAGGGATAATTAACTAGGATCAATGTTTATGATTATTTTATACAAAATCAAATAAAAAGAAAATTCACACTATCCTTGGCTGAAGAAGTGGGTTGTGCCCATGAAAGCTTATGATACTATTTCTATATATTTGTTAGTCTAAGGTGGTATGGGACTGTTGTCTTTTAAGCTTTTTAGTTACAGACTAACACAACTACCCCTCTGAGACCTTGGAGTGCATATATCATCATTTTTTCTAACAGGCAGATGAATGTTTCAAAGATCTTGCAAATAAGGTTTCATCTTACAAAACTGTTAGCATCACACCTAGTACTTGCTACTTCTGACTTATAAGAACCAGAACTCTACCACATAGCAAAGATCTAGCCTTAATGCAATGCAGTTTACCATGTATTAATTAGTAACACAGGATTAAAAAAAACCATTAAGATCAGAGATTTCAATAACTGCAACATTCAAAAAAATATGCTAAGAGAATATTCTTCTTTCTTATCTTAAGCCTTTAACACACGGTTGATGGGGGGCTACTCAAAGAATTTAAGTGGTCAAAGGCCGCACTCTTCCATTATATTAATGGAGGAGGTTTAGGGCTCTGGGATGGAGTTTGGGTACAGAAGGGAGCTTGGGATAAGAGATTTGGGTGTGGGATCTGGGAGGGAGTTTGGGTTTGCATGACCTGGGACAATGGACTGGGGTGAGGAGGGGGTGCAGGATCTGGGAGGGAAGTGTGACCTAGAGATGCAAGGGTTTGGGTTGTGACCTGGCACAGAGTATTGGGGATTCCTTAGCCAAAGTCCTTGCCTTCCTGCCCCTGTACTGCTCAGGTGAGCTACAGGAGCCATGTTTAGTGCTCTGACCTGACTGCTGTAAGCCCAGAGGATGAGGTATGAGGGGCACTTGACATGCTCTCTGTACTGTAAACAGGCAACTGCTATTGGCTGAAACCAGCTAATGGGAGCTACTGGGAGCCAGGAACAGCATGAGAAGCCTGTCTCCCCTCCCTCCAGGCTCTCAGTGTTCAGAAACACACACGGCCAAGCAGGTGCGGGAAGGCAGGGTGCTGGCTGAGGCTCTTGCGGCCAGATCTGGCCCACAGATCGTCTTTTGCCCAGTCCTGGAGTAAAGGCTGAAGCCTGCTTCTTCATTTATAGCATGCAGCAGCAACAATTACTGCTCCTTCTGCTTCTCCAAGTGGGCGGTTGCCCTGTACCTTCCATCCCCAGCCAATCAGCTGAGCTTCCTGCCTGTGTGGGGAGCTCTGAAGCTCTGCACAAGGCTCAGAAAAGGGCTGTGCACCTGCGCGGGCACACAGCTTACAGGGAACCTTGCCTGTGATAATTGGACATCATGCCGAGCCATGGATGTTGCTAGACCAGAAAGTTCCAGACTAGAGAGGTTCAAGCTGTATTACGACTGCCCAACCTACTTCTGTCAGCTGGAATAGCTTTTTGGAGCAGCTCCACTATTACTCCATGGTTTGGATGCAGGAATCTCCTTGCCATTCTTGTTGCAGATATCTCCAGAGACTAGGCTAGTGTTTTGGCAAGGGTGCTGGATTTATCTCAGACTTTGAGGCTGCAGCTACTATGGACAGACACCATATATTCATGGTGTGTGGCATGTGTTTGTCGAGCACAGTGAGGCCCTGATCCTGACGAGCCTCTTGGTGCTATTACAATAAAAATAGTTGTTAATAATGAAACTTTTCATTTTATCTCACAAAACCAAGGTTTAGTAGAGAATGGTGTAAACTAATTTAAATCAATGCGGTTTAAATCACCAAAAAATTGTTGATTCAAATCAAGCTTCCCATTGATATTATTAACATTTTTTTCAAACAATAGTGCAAATCTGATACCTAGGACATGTTAATTTACAGCTCAGTACAACGTTTTACAAGAGCTACTAGGGTATACTTCGTGTAATTTTTTTAGATAACTGGCTTTTGGTTAATTTTGGAGCTAATACATAATACTCCTTACGAGATGCAGCAGCACATTAGAAAATATAAGAACTAAATCACAGACACAATAGCACTTATATTTTATTAAACTAAATCTTAAGTGTTACATAAATGTTTGACATTTGCAGTTGCAGCAGTCTCCTGAGTTGCCGGCTGATGGCGGTCCTTAAACTCTTTAAAAAAAAAAATCACATATTATTAACTCTAACCAACAAGTCCTTAGAACACTATGGCTGCGTCTACACTGCACCTGTAGCTCAAAATAAGCTACACAATTTGAGTTTATTTCAAGTTAATTTCAAAATAGCTTATTTCTAAACAGCGCCAAATTTTGAAATAGTGCTATTCTGAAACATCCCTTAATCCTTGTGGAACGAGGTTTACAGGGACGCCGGAATAGTGAGCCCTTTATATCTCGAAATAATGGGCTTGCTCAAAAGGTGGAGAATAGCTATTTTAGGATACTGGAAGTATCTCAAAACAGTGTCACAGTGTAGACGTACCCTAAATGTACAGTGTCCTTAAATCTTCTATAGCTACCTCTCATCTTCCCCACTTCCACCATTATTTTGATGCAGATCTGATTCTAAGTTACCAAAGAAGCTAAGTTTGACTGTGCT